TAGCAAAACAATAGTGCGATTCTCCCCGTCGTTAAAAGCGCCGCGGTGAGCGCAGTGTCGGTTGCCATGGAGACCGTCAACAAAAGCGTAAAAACCGGCGCCTGTGTCCGACCCCCCGTCAGAAACACAGCGGCTCTCAAAGCTGTGACCGCAGACTCTCTCATGCTCAAGCAAAGCGCCAGCGACGAGCCAACAGCGCCATCGAGTGGACAAAGAAAAGAAATGCAAAAACACTGACACACACACCTCCTCGTACTAACAAACGTCAGATAAAAAAAGTGAATGGATCTCCCACATTTGAACACAGAATTTTAAGTGAATTGAATTTTACAGAAATCTAGAGATATTTAAAGTCATAAAATAGAAAACAGAAACTAAACCAAGAGTGTTCTGTATTTGAAAACTTTTTAAAACCGTAATTTCTTTCACATTCATCAAACCCAGAGCGAGGCTGTTCATGTATTCATATTAAATTAAAAGGTGCACAGTGGAACTTTTCACGCGGACGGTCCGACACCTGCTAGTCGGAGATTGTGTTGTGTAGCCTGGAATGTTCCACAGTGTTGGATTAAACTGATGACTCTCCATGGAGACAGGTGACACGCCAAGTTTCAAGGTCAGATCTGTGGAAAGCGATTTTTACAAGGAATTTGTAGAGCGATTAAAACACCAGTAACAGAGCTTTTTTTCACAACGGCCGGAAGTGTCGCGCTTTAGGTTTGCAGAACGTCCGGTTAATGGTTTTCTGTGTCAAAATGTGTGTGTAAATGTGTGTGTAAATGTGTGTTGTTTTCTCCAGCAGCTTCATAAATCTGCCCCATCACCAAATCTTCAACCAACAAACTCCACAAAGAATAAACATTCTAACATGAACAATTTATCCACAACTATTAAGAGAAGAAAGACCAAAACTTTAAAAGTGAACAACAACGACATTAGTGAACTACTTAAACAGAAGTAACTTAGGCTGTGTTCAGTCTGCACCTGAAGTGACCCAAATCCGATTTTTTGGCCCCTATGTTCCTGTATCTGATCTTTTAATGTCAGTCTGAACCACACAGATCCGATTTTTTCAAATGTGACCCAGGACACTTGGATATGTGCTCCTGAAACTGATACATATCTGATCTTTTGACATGTGACTTCAGTCTGAACGACCAAAGTGCATTCATCCACCTACACGTTATCAACAAGACACAAACGTCACTATTCTGCACTGAAGTAGGTGAAAATTGTTAATGAACTCTGTGTCACTGAAGTGAAGCACATCACCACTCACCACTCTTGGCTCCGTCTCCACATCCACACGTTCCTTTCAACAGACTGAACCACAAAACACCAAAAACCTCGTCCTTCTCCTTCTCAATCTCCTCCTTAAAACAAGTAAGTTGTTCATGTTCTGGCTCCGGTACGAGAGGAACTTTAAAATCTCCAGGTGCTCGATGCTGCGTCCATGTTTGGACAACTTCTGTAAACACAGAGACGCTCGCTGCGGTTGACGTCGTCGTGTCTCCAGTGTCACATGTGGGACACTTTCGGGCTGTTTAATGTTCACACTGGAGTCACATACAAGTCACATTTAATTGCAAATGTGAACGACCTCGAAAAAACATCGGATTTCACCAAAAAATCAGAATTGAGCGTTAAGCCCTGCAGTCTGAACGTCGCCTACGTTACTTCTTAGTTATGTAGTTCACTCAGACTGATTCTACAATTAAAATTAAAAATCAATTTCATGATGTCGATATTAGCATAGATAGATTTGTGCAGTTCAAATGCTCAACATCTCTAGGACCATAACGTTAGTTTTGTTCAGTGTGTCACTAACGCTTCGTCATCGTTGTTTCCTTTAAGTTTTCATCTTTCGTCCTTTGATCGTTGTGGATAAATTGTTCATGTTAGAATGTTTATCCTTTGTGGAGTTTGTTGGTTGAAGATTTGGTGATGGGGCAGATTTATGAAGCTGCTGGAGAAAACAACACACATTTACACACACATTTTGACACAGAAAACCATTAACCGGACGTTCTGCAAACCTCTGGCTGTTGTGAAAAAGCTCTATTGAACCTGTAACGTCAGATATATTTAATACTGTGGAACGTTCCAGGGAAAGCAGTAACTTCTCGTTAGCAGACCAGGCCTCGAGAAAAGTTCCATAGTCCAGCTTTAAACTATGCGCTTGTTAGGATGTTAGAACATGAAGGAAATGGGAGCTCAAATGCAGTGGAAGTTGCATTTTGTGAGGGAGCAGCCTGGCGAGCGCAGCGACAGCAGCAGAGCAGCTTCCTCAGCAGCCGTGTGGACTACAGGTGAGTGTGTGAGTGTACAGGGTGCTTGGGTGCTTGGATGTTTGGGTGCCTGGATGTTTGAGTATTTGAATGTTTGGGTGCTTGGATGTTTGGGTGTTTGGATGTTTGGGTGCCTGGATGTTTGGGTGCTTGGATGTTTGAGTATTTGAATGTTTGGGTGCTTGGATGTTTGAGTATTTGAATGTTTGGGTGCTTGGATGTTTGAGGTGCTTGGTTGGTTTGGGTGCAGTTTTTTGTTGTTTGGGTGCTTGGATGTTTGGGTGTTTGGATGTTTGGATGTTTGGATGTTTGGATGTTTGGATGTTTGGGATGTTTGGAGTGCTTGGATGTTTGGGTTTGGGTGCTTGGATGTTTGGGTGTTTGGATGTTTGGATGTTTGGATGTTTGGATGTTTGGGTGTTTGGATGTTTGGGTGCTTGGATGTTTGGGTGCTTTGACATTTTGTGTGCAGTTTCTTGTTCTTTTGGATCACTGGGTGCCTCAGTTTTTGGTTGCTTCAATGTTTGGATCTTTCAGTGTTTGGGTGCTGGAGCGTGTGGGTGCTTGAGCGTGTGGGTGCCTCAGTCTTTGGGTGCTTGAGCGTGTGGGTGCTTGAGCGTGTGGGTGCTGCAGCGTGTGGGTGCCTGCGTGTGGGTGCTGGAGCTGTGGGTGCTTGAGCGTGTGGGTGCTGGCGTGTGGGTGCTTGAGCGTGTGGGTGCTGGAGCGTGTGGGTGCTTGATCGTGTGGGTGCTTGAGCGTGTGGGTGCTTGGAGCGTGTGGGTGCTGCTGAGCGTGTGGGTGCTTGGAGCGTGTGGGTGCTGGAGCGTGTGGGTGCTTGAGCGTGTGGTGCTTGGTGTGGTGGATGTTGAGCGTGTGGGTGCTTGAGCGTGTGGGTGCCTCAGTCTTCGGGTGCTTTTGCGTGTGGGTGCTTGAGCGTGTGGGTGCTTGAGCGTGTGGGTGCTGGCGTGTGGGTGCTGGAGCGTGTGGGTGCTTGAGCGTGTGGGCGCTTGAGCCTTTGGTGCTTGAGCGTGTGGGTGCTTGAGCGTGTGGGTGCTGTGCTTGTGTGGGTGCTTGAGCGTGTGGGTGCTTGAGCGTGTGGGTGCTTGATCGTGTGGGTGCTTGAGCCTGTGGGTGCTGGAGCGTGTGGGTGCTGGAGCGTGTGGGTGCTGAGCGTGTGGGTGCTGGAGCGTGTGGGTGCTTGAGCCTGTGGGTGCTTGAGCGTGTGGGTGCTTGAGCGTGTGGGTGCTTGAGCGTGTGGGTGCTTGATCGTGTGGGTGCTTGAGCGTGTGGGTGCTTGAGCGTGTGGGTGCTTGAGCGTGTGGGTGCTTGAGCGTGTGGGTGCTTGAGCGTGTGGGTGTTGAGCTGTGGGTGCTTGGAGCGTGTGGGTGCTTGAGCGTGTGGGTGCTGAGCGTGTGGGTGGGTGCTGGAGCGTGTGGGTGCTTGAGCGTGTGGGTGCTGGAGCGTGTGGGTGCTGGAGCGTGTGGTGCTTGAGCGTGTGGGTGCTTGAGCGTGTGGGTGCTTGGCGTGTGGGTGCTTGAGCGTGTGGGTGCAGTGTGGGTGCTTGAGCGTGTGGGTGCGTGTGGGTGCTGGAGCGTGGGGTGGGAGCGTGTGGGTGCTTGAGCGTGTGGGTGCTTGAGCGTGTGGGTGCTGAGCGTGTGGGTGCTGAGCGTGTGGGTGCTTGATCGTGTGGGTGCTTGAGCGTGTGGGTGCTTGAGCGTGTGGGTGCTTGAGCGTGTGGGTGTTAGATCGTGTGGGTGCTTGAGCGTGTGGGTGCTTGAGCGTGTGGGTGCTGTGGGTGCTTGAGCGTGTGGGTGCTGGAGCGTGTGGGCTGTTGTGTGGTGCTTGAGCGTGTGCTTGTGGGTGCTGGAGCGTGTGGGTGCTTGAGCGTGTGGGTGCTTGAGCGTGTGGGTGCTTGAGCGTGTGGGTGCTGAGCGTGTGGGTGCTTGAGCGTGTGGGTGCTTGAGCGTGTGGGTGCCTCAGTCTTTGGGTGCTTGAGCGTGTGGGTGCTTGAGCGTGTGGGTGCTTGAGCGTGTGGGTGCTTGAACGTGTGGGTGCCTCAGTCTTTGGGTGCTGGAGCGTGTGGGTGCTGGAGCGTGTGGGTGCCTGAGCGTGTGGGTGCTTGAGCGTGTGGGTGCTGGAGCGTGTGGGTGCTTGAGCGTGTGGGTGCTTGAGCGTGTGGGTGCTTGAGCGTGTGGGTGCTTGTGCTTGAGCGTGTGGTGCTTGAGCGTGTGGGTGCTTGAACGTGTGGGTGCCTCAGTCTTTGGGTGCTTGAGCGTGTGGTGCTTGATCGTGTGGGTGCTTGAGCGTGTGGGTGCTTGAGCGTGTGGGTGCCTCAGTCTTTGGGTGCTGGAGCGTGTGGGTGCTGGATGTGGGTGCTGTGGGTGCTGGAGCGTGTGGGTCTTGAGCGTGTGGTGCTGAGCGTGTGGGTGCTGGAGCGTGTGGTGCTTGGCTGCGTGCTTGGCGTGTGGGTGCTTGAGCGTGTGGGTGCTTGAGCGTGTGGGTGCTTGAGCGTGTGGGTGCTTGAGCGTGTGGGTGCTGGAGCGTGTGGGTGCTTGAGCGTGTGGGTGCGTGTGAGCTGTGACGTGTGGGTGCTGAGCGTGTGGGTGCTGGTGTGGGTGCTGAGCGTGTGGGTGCTGGAGCGTGTGGGTGCTGGAGCGTGTGGGTGCTTGAGCGTGTGGGTGCTGTGGCGTTTGCGTTGCCGGGGCGACTCACGGCGGGGGGCAGCTGCCCGTTGATCCTGGCCGTTCTGAAGGGGGAGTTGGTGGACAGACGTTTGTCCCACTCGCTGGGCCGCGGCTCCGGCACCGACTCCATGAAGCTCCTCTTGAGTTCGCTGATGCTGCTGTGGTGACGCATGATCTCAGTCTGCGTTTTATCCACGTCCTGAACGGAAAAACACGTCAGAAACCACGACACGAGACCGGCGCCGAGGAAACCGACGCTACGGATAAAGCTGCATTGTGTAACTTTTCTGGTGGAGGGTCCATCAAAGGCTTTTCTCCATGGAGATGTTACTGCTTTATCTGGAATGTTTCACAGTTTTTCTAAGTATTTTTGAGCTATAAAACCACCTGTAACTGAATAAATGTAAGGTAGGGCTGTTTAATGTCGCACTGTGGAACATTCCGGACAGAGAAATGACATCTCCATAGAAACAAAAACCCAAACAAAAAGTTACACGCACTTTTAAGGAAATAGAAGAGCAAATGTACAAAATGGAGGAGTATGGAAAGGGTAGAAAATAGGAAAAAAAAAACATTATGACACAGTAAAATGTTCAAATTAGGGTTTAAACTAGGAATTGAATCTTGGGTTTATTCCTCAGTATCGGAATTGCGTTTTAAATTTTAGTATCGTGACAAAATCAATTCAAAGTTTGAAGTACAGATCATCAGATTAGGCCAAAGGGACTCAGTGGGGTTAAAGGTTGTACAGAAGATTTTCCAATGAAAGAGAAATGCAGCGACTGTTTTTCAAATGTTGCGCTTCACTCCACTTCCCCTTCTCTTCTTCTTTCAGCGATGTCAAAAACAGACTTTCTTTTGCGGTGAACCAGTCGTGGATTCTTGTCCGCCGTTACAACAAATTTTGTGCAAACTGAGAGGAAGCTACAGTTCGAAAAAGACGCTAAGAACCGCTGTTTTAGTTGAGTAAACAGCATCAATGCGTGAGAGGCGAACGTAAACCACGTAATCCCCGCGCGCCGGCGAGTCAGTGACGCTAGAAACGTACACAGTTTGATTGACAACCCAACAGCCAATGGATAAAGAGGTGACCTTGTTCTCTATTGGCTGATGTTTATCTGCCACCACCACGTCTACAGCTGATAGATTTTCATTCTTTTTTTTTTTTTTTGTCATCATAATTACAAGGCTGCTGCATCTCTATAATTCTATTTTGAACTTTCATCGACAACTTGAAACAAAAAAAAAAAATCCTCCATACAACCTTTAAAGGTTGAAGAGGATTTTTTTTTTTTTGTTTCAAATTGTCAGTGAAAGTTTAAAATACCCTTACAGAGATGCAGCAGCCTTGTAATTATGTTGACTAAAAAAAAAAAAAAAAGAATGAAAATCTATCAACTGTGGACATAGTGAGGGCAGATAAACATCAGCCAATAGAAAACAAGGCTCCCTCATTTTCTATTGGCTGTTAGGTTGTCAATCAAACTCCCTACGTTTCTAGTGTAACTGACTCGCCGGCGCGCGGGGATTATGTGGTTTATGCAGCGGTTCTTAGAGGTTTTTTAAACTGTAGTTTCCTCGCAGTTCACACAAAATTTGTCGCGATGGCGGACGAGAATCCACGACCCGTTCGCCGCAAAAGAAAGTCCGTTTTTGAGGTCGCTGAAAGAAGAGGAGAAGGAGAAAAGGAGCAAAACCAAACATGTGATTCTTGGAGATTTCTTCCAGCGACTGCATGAATGAAGCAGACGAAGGGTCTAAAAAGTGACACGTCGGTCGCTAAATTATTTCTAGACGGGAAACTTCAACAGTGATTCTGAACGTGCACCGGCTGTAAACAAACGTGATTTCTAGAGTAAAGAGGCGGGAGGAGGTGTTTCTAGGCTGTGGAGGAGGAAGGTGGTGTCACGCAGGCACAACATTTGAAAAAGGACTGTCGCTGTATTTGTCTTCCCTTTAAAAAATCCTCCATACAACCTTTAAGAGTCTAAATGGAAAAGTGATCTTTGAGGTTACGGTTTTGATGTTTCTATATGAAAACTTATCAGAGACCAAAACAGAGCCCTGCACACCCGCGGGACACATTCTGAAAGCTCATCGCGGGCGCGGGCGATAGCGGCACTGCACAATGTGGGAGGATAAACTGCAGTCAAAAACTAAATCTGAGTGTGAAGTAAAATATACAAATGATCAGTGTTTACCTATTATACATCACTTGTGCTGGATATTTTATTTGGCATTAATAATAATCAGTGTTGGGGAGTAACGGATTACATGTTTTAAAGTTACGTAATCAGAGTACAAATTATGAGTAACTGTATTCAGTTACAGTTACTGTTTCAGTGAGTGGTAATTGGATTACAGTTACTTTGTTGAAGTAAATGGATTACACAGAGGGATTTTCCTGTTTTTCTGTTTTCACATTTTGGGCTGTATCCCCCTTTTTTTTCTTTTTTTTTTTTTCAGTAATCTACTCATTGTCGGAAAGTAAACTAGATCTAAACCAGGACTAAAACCAGGTCTAAACCAGGTCTAAAACAGGTCTAAACCAATACTAAAAACAGAACTAAATCAGAACTAAAACCAGGTCTAAACCAGGATTAAACCAGAACTGAAACCAGGACTAAAATCAGGACTAAACCAGGACTAAAACCAGAAGAACTAAAACCAGAAGAACTAAAACCAGGACTAAAATTACGTCTAAACCAGGTCTAAACCAGGTCTAAACCAAGACTAAAATCAGGACTAAAATTATGTCTAAACAAGGACTAAACCAGAACTAAAACCAGGATTAAACCAGAACTGAAACCAGGACTAAACCAGGTCTAAAACAGGTCTAAAACCAGGACTAAAACAGGACTCCTAGTCTAAACCATTAGCTTCTCTAAAACAGCAAAATCAAATAAACCCAAAGTATTCAGATTACATTACTCACTTTAAGTAATTTAATGGATTCCGTTACAAACTACATTTTGGGGGATGTAATCTGTAATCTGTAGGGGATTACATTTTAAAAGTAACAGTCCCAACACTGATAATAATTAATCAGGCTAAATTTGAGGATGTGCGCTTATCTCCTTTCCGTTTCTCCGTGTTTGATGGAGCTTAAGAAAGAGAACGCCCTCGTCTTGCGGGATTTGCGGGCGGGAGCGGGACAAAATATTGCAGATGCGAGCGGGAACGAGACTGAAAATTACAATTTCAGACGTCGAGACCAAAACTGACCCCGAAATGATGTGCAGGAGAGGGTCAGGAAGCACATTTCATAAGGACAGTCATAGAAATAAAGGAGAGCATTGGTGAGGGCCAGGTGTGCAGGACATGAGGAGGAGGGAGTTTTGTCATGGAGTGTGTTTACATGCGCTCGAGAATCACGGTTATGATCGGGTTTTTTGAGTCTCCTGGTTCTGTGATTGTCTGTGTAAAGACCCAGTGATGAGGAACCAGGAGACTCACTGGGTTTTTCTCAGAGTATAAAGGATTTCTCAAAACTATTTCTCAAAACTGGAGCTGTACTGAGCATGTGCGAACTCAAGAAACAAACTGTAGGAGCAGTTACTTTCCCAAAACGACTCAAAACTTCTAACAGGACTTTTTAAGTGAAAACATTTTATACTTATAAACAAAATAAACCAGTTTACTGTTAAATACAACCATCTTATTGCTGAGTTTCAGATGACATCACTTCTTTCTATGGGCCAATATTCATTAATACAGATGGGGGCAGCTAAAATTAATATTGTTCAACTGCAGATTTTTGTTGTAATACAGCACAGGTGTCAAACATGCGGCCCGGGGGCCAGATGCGGCCCTCCAACACCTTTAATCTGGCCCTTGGCTGATTTTCTACTTAAATATTTTAATTAAAATATTGTTAATTTTCTGTGGTGTTTATCACAGCAGCGTCTCCAGCGTCTCTGTACGTGGCCCCTCCCACCAGAGCAGCACAAATGAAGACTTGTCTCTTTCCAAACGCTCTTAAAGGACGATCGTTTTGACTGTTGACCGTGACACCCTCATCAGAAAAATGTTCAACATGAGAAAAGTGGAGCCGAGTGCAGGATTTTAACAACAAAAATTTACTTATTCCTATTTACATACAAGTTCATGTTTAAAATATTGTGTGTTGAAATTGCATTTTTCTTAAAAGTTTCAGGTTCTTCATAATAATTTGTAAAAGAAAGAGTTCATTTACGAAGATTTTTAGTTTAAAAATGTTTAGTTTCAAAGTTCTTTAAAAAGATTTCTGTAATAGATTTGTGTTTCTCTGCACAAATATTTGAACTTATTGTTATTTTTGGGGTTTATATGACATGAGTTTTCTGATCCGGACACTTTGGGATCAAAGTAGGTTGGATACGGCCCCCGGACCAAAATGAGTTTGACACCCCTGTAATACAGCATGGTCTTGGGTCTAGTCAATGTTTGATATTTGGGAATTTACCTTTCTGAAATTTCATGGCAAATAGAAGATTTACATTCAACATGAGACTGTGGAGCTCTGTCACAACTTCAGGAAAAGATTGTTCAATTAGATTCATTTGGTCTTCCGATATTTTATGTTATTAGATTCTTTTTTCAGACCAAGAGTTTGTTTTCATACATGACAGTTTTGACTTCTCACTATCGTCTTCCTCAGAGTCACGTGATGTTGCTGTGACGTGTCCGGTGGAGGCAGGACGACAGCGCCACCTGCAGTCCCACTTCCTCAGGACAGAATCCCAGGTGTGTGAGAGTAAAAAAAGCCCCTCGTCCTGCCTCCACCGGTAGGAAGACAGCGCCAAAACCTGTATAACTCAGCTGACCAGACACGTCACAGCAACATCACGTGACCACTCTGAAAAAAAAACAAACTAATAACATATTCAGGATAAAATACAACAAAATAGAGTCTCACAGTGTCAGTTTGGTTCAAGAGCAACACAAACCCCCACAGAGCTGAGCCTGGGGTTAAAATGAGGTTGTATTAAACAGTAAACCGCTTTACTTCTCTGGTACTGCAACTAAACTGGTTCAAGTCCTATCTAGAAGACAGGAAGTATTTTGTTGAAATTGGAAACTGTGTCTCAGATCACATGGCCCTGACCTGTGGGGTGCCTCAGGGGTCAATCCTGGGCCCCCTGTTGTTCAATCTCTACACGCTGCCATTAGGCCAGTTAATAAGCAGCAATAACGTGTCCTACCACAATTATGCAGACGACACTCAGATCTACGTCTCTCTGGCAGCAGGAGACTATGGACCAGTGGAGTCACTTGGTCACTGCATCCAACAGATCAGTGTGTGGATGCAAAACAACTTTCTCCAGCTAAACTCTGACAAGACTGAAGTCATAGTGGTTTGGTCCACAGAAACAAAGGGACAGTGTCAGCAGTCACCTCCAGTATCTCTCTCTAAAACCTTCAAATCAGGCAAGAAATCTAGGGGTAATAATGGACCAGACTTGAACTTTAACAGCCACATCAAATCATCACATCTGCAGCCTTTTACCATCTAAAAAACATAGTAAAAATCAAAGGTTTACTGTCTAAATCAGACTTGGAGAAACTTATCCATGGCGTTTGTCTCCAGTAGGTTAGATACTGTAATGTTCTGCTCACTGGTCTCTCCAAACGAGCTGTGAGACGCTGCAGCTCAACATCCAGAACATCCAGAACATCCAGAACATCCAGAGGAGCTCAGCAGCTCCATCACGACTGTGAAAGCAGGTTTTCATGTCCGCACATCTCTTCTCTCTAATTTATGTCTTCTCTTTTTTTATGTTTAATCTTCATGATTATTTATGTTTTGATTTGTTTTTATTATGATTTTAATGTATTTCTTATTCTGTAAAGCACTTTGAATTACTTTGTGTACGAATTGTGCTGTACAAATAAACTTGCCTTGCCTTACTTTGTTTTCAAGTATAAAATATTATTACTTAAAAAATCCTGGTGGAAGTAACAGTTGTTTTTGGAAAGTAACTGCACCTACCGTTTCTGTGACTTGCTCAGTTTTGAGAAATGTGGATACTGTCAGAAAAACCCAACGAGAGTCTCCAGGTTTCTCATCACCGGGACACTCCAGGATACTGCGTCTACATCAGTGTTTCCCAAAACTTTTTTTCAGGGGACTCATGTTTTAAAAGTCCCAAACCTTCGCGACCCAAGTTAATAGACGTTACTCGTAAATCACAAACTGAAGGTGGATTTGATCATTGCTGAACCTTAACAAGGATATTTTATTGTTGACTAAGTGATCGTGTCTCTCTGAACAATTAATATTACTCAAGTTTTAAACAATCTACAAAACCAGGATACTCAAAAAAACAGATCATAACTCTTGAGACTCGAACGCATCAGTGACAGTGTTGGAATCTGTATCAAGAATCAAGTCTATTCCTTAAATTTTAGCATCATTCCAACGCTGATGACTAATAATCACTCTTCCGGTCGTGAGTTTGAGGAGACGACAAACCAAAAAAAAACGAGAAGAACAAAGAGTGGAGCTACTTGCAGTGTCAGACAGGAAGATAGTGCATGCCAGGCCTTTAGGATTCAGCTTTGAGAACGAAAAAAAACACCACAAGACAAAGAAAGAGAAGAAGAAAAGAAGAGAAAAGAGAAGAGAAGAAACACGTTATGACGACGGACGAGAGGCTCTGTCACGGTACCAACCTCCAGCATCAGATTGCTATGCCTGATATAAATCGTCTCTCCTTCCAGTTTCTTAGCTCGTTTCTGCGGAGGGAGGAGAGAAGTTAGAAATAAAAGCGAGACCAGAGCGACAGGTGGAGCGCTGAGAATCCAAAGGGCCCAACAAGTACAAGTATATTAACCTAAATACTGTTAAAACGCAAAATTAAACTAAATTAAAGGCTCTGTACATGATTTTTGTCCATGTATTTGGGCTAAAAATGTGTCTTGCCACAGTAGATGAGTAAAAGCAGTGGAAAAAACAGATCCGCACTTATGAAAGATCATGTTTTCCATCAGATTTTGAATGTTTAAAGGTTGTATGGAGGATTTTTTTTTTTGTTTCAAACTGTCACTGAAAGATTAAAATACCATTACAGAGACGCAGCAGCTTTGTAATTATGATGACCAAAAAAAAAAAGAACGAAAATCTATCAACTGTGGACGTGTTGAGGCCAGATAAACGTCAGCCAATAGAAAACGAGGCTCCCTCATTTTCTATTGGCTGTTAGGTTGTCAATCAAACTCCCTAGTATAACTGACTCATTGGAGCGCGGGGATTACGTGGTTTACGCAGCGGTTCTTAGAGGCTTTTTCGAACTGTCGCTTTCTCGCATTTCGCACAAAGTTTGTCGCGACGGCGGACGAGAATCCACGACCGGTTCGCCGCAAAAGAAAGTCCGTTTTTGAGGTCGCTGAAAGAAGAAGAGAAGAGGAAAAGGAGCAAAGCCAAACTGAGGTGATTCTTGGAGATCTCGTCCAGCGATGGCGCGACCGAAGCAGACGAAGGGTCTAAAAACTGACGCGTCGGTCGCTGAATTACTTCTAGACAGGAAACTTCAACAGTAATTCTGAACGCGCACAAGGACTGTCGCTGTATTTCTCTTCCCTTTAAAAAAATCCTCTATACAACCTTTAATGCCGAAAAAACACGTTTCAATTATTTTTATTCTGAATTTCTGTTCATGAAATAATTTTGGTACATTTTGGTGTGGTTATCTTTGTTCTAGTCCAGCTCGAACTGATCTAAAAATGAAATAAAAGTGCAAATATACAAAAATGAGCAATGTAGTTCAAAGAATTACTATAAATTAATGAAAAAGTACATTATACTTTAAGTATTGACATTTTTTGCATGAGAATCAGTACTTTTCAATACCTCAGTCAGTATTGTTATATTCGTTTTTGATATCGAGTCTCTTTTGTTTATATTTCTAGCAGAAGTTGAAAAGTTTACGCCCTTTGGATTCTAGTTTGTTGCTGTGATCTTGTTTTCCGTGCGTGAGCGGCTACGGGATCAGTTTTGAGTCGTGTAGGTCAAAAAAGGCTTTTAAAACATCAAGCAAACAGATATAAATCAAAATACCAAATAAAAAAATAAAATATGTAAGATCAAGATCAAATTATTTGAGTAATCATGTAAAGTTTTTGCCTCTTTTGTTTTTGTTCCGTGTCTTTCTCAGTTTTGTTTGGTACTGTTTTTTTTGTTTTGTTTGTTTTGTTTGTTTGTTTAATGGTTCCAGCCTTTTCGTTTGACTTTTTGGTGCAGTTTTGGCTCAAGTGTAACAGGTGGGTGGGGTTTTCATGGGTTCATTCCCATTGATTAATTTATGTTTGACGGACAGTTGAGCTTTGAGCTTCTGAAGCTGTTGTGGACGTTTCCCGTTGTAGTTTTGGTGCTCAGAACTTTTCTAATATTCATCGTTCTCTGGTGGACGGTTCTTCTGAAACAACATGATTCTAAACAGTTTAAGTCCTGGACAAACTTGTCTGTGTCGCAGTCTCCAAAACTACAACAGGAAACGTCCACAACAGCTTCAGGAGCTCCAGGCTCAGCTGTCCGTCAAACATAAATGAGCCAATGGGAATGAACCCATGGAAACCCCACCCACCTGTTACACTTGAGCCACAACTGCACCAAAAGGTCAGAGAACAGAAACGAGAAGACTGGAATCAGAACCAAACCAATCAAACAAAACTGAGAAGGACAAAAATGAAATGTTTCTAAAAAGGCAAAGACAGATATTTTATTAGCCAGTCTCCACTCAATTTCATTTCTCTCCAGCGACTAGATCAGGAATCAAAACACACTAGAGTGACCAGACAGTTTGCAAGAACCCTGGAAGTGCGAGTCTGAACACCAGCCAATCAGAAGAAACCAGACATTCAGTGTTGGTAACAATTCTCAAGATTTAAAGTCAGAACAAAGAGAATGTTTGGTGAATTTTATCAATTGTGTTATTGTCCTTCTTCCTACGGGATTTGGAACATTACATACGTCACGACCAAACAGCAGCGACTGGTTAAATAAAAAAAGTACCCGCCTTGTATCCGTTGAGCGAACGAATCCCAATGCTGCGAGGTCAGACGAAGTGAAACCGGCTGATGAATCAAGCTAAAATTTTACACGATTACAGAAATAATTTGAGTGCATATTTATTTATTTCATTTGGTATTTTGACTTATGCTTTTTTTCTTGAAACTATCTGACTCAAAGTTGATTCCACAGATCGGCCGTGATGAAGCGTCGGACACACGAGGAGGTTTGTCTGGGAGGCTTCTGCTGTGGCGTCAAAATCAGAAAACCAGATGGAGTTGTCATATTGTAATGACGACACAGGATTTCTTTTAAAATGTAAACTTTGAACATGTTCCGTCTCTACTTTCGTCGTCATTACAATATATACGAGATGGAAAAATGCGATACAGTCACAGCCAGAGAACACGAAAGCCCGGAGAACGAACACATGCTGAGCTCCAGAGCAGAGAACAAACACGAGCGAGCGACAAAAACAGTTTCATTTGGTCAGACTCACCGATAAAACTCATCACATCATGTACTTTTAAAGGCGCACTGTGTAACTTTTCCGGTGGAGAGTTTATCATCTGTTTCTCTTCATGTTATTGGTTTGACGTTAATGTTTCACTTTTATTGCATTCAACTTTAAACTAAATCAATTTCAAGTTGGACATTTGCATTTTGTAGTTTGAGTTGCTTTTTTTGCGAAATATTTATACACAGTGGAAAAAAAAACAATATCTAGATAAGTTAAAATGACTTAAATTAAGAAAATTTTAAGAACTTTGAGTCGAATCAACTTGACAAATTAAATTATCAACCAGTTTTTCTTAATTCATGCAACATTCGATTTTATTTCTCATTTTAAGTGCAAAAAGTAGTTGTTTTTGTTATTTTAAGTCTAGCAAGATGTATTCTCAAAAAAAAAAGTACATATTGATGGCTATAACTTAATTTTCTAACTCTGACGTTGATCTGTCCTTGTTTTTGTTTTTATTTTGTTTTCATGTATACGACAAATAGATTGTAATTATGCTTTCATAATGTACAAAAAACAAAATAAAAACATCGTTATATATATTTATTAAAGAAAAGATGTGATTTCATATTGTAAGTACAAAAAGTCTTGTTAAACTAGGCAGATCATTTTACTTATAAAGTGAAATTTACTCAAATCAGGATCAAACTTTCTTAATTCAAGTCATCTGAACATGACTAGATTTAGTTTTTTGCAGTGTGTATGTACAGTGAGGAAAATAAGTATTTGAACACGCTGTTATTTTGCAAGTTCTCCCACTTTGAAATCATGGAGGGTCTGAAATTTTCATCGTAGGTGCATGTCCACTGTGACAGACAGAAGGTCCTGGTCAAGCAGAAGTAAACAACAAGGCCAAAAATTCAAGTTAATTCATCTGATATAAAAATGTATTGAACAGATACATATGTCTCTACTTTATGAAACTGTTGACCTTTTTTCTGGACAATTTTTGGTTCTAAAGTTCCATACGTTTTAAACAGACCATGTATGAAACATGGAACAAAAATTATTTCCCAAATTTCAAAGACCTGAAAATCATGTAAATAAATGGATGTATTTCATCATATCTTGTGTTATTCCATCTTTGAACTGTTGATGAAGGTTCATGATTTAAAAAAAAAAAAGTATTTAAAATGATAAAAATTTGCTTGGAAGGACTGACATATTTTATAGAAATAGTTTCCTTTCATTTTGAAGTAATATTAAAGTATTTGGAAGAAAAAAGTTGACAAATTATGTAAAATCATGCACCTTCTACTTGTTTGTACAATTTTCCCTCCGTTAATTTTCCCTCCGTTACCGACATGAGTTTTTAAATGTTTTGTCAACAACTTGAAAGAATCTCACAGGTTTAACTTGACCCTGTTGGAGTGTAACTCTTTCCTACATTCTGATACTTTACTTATTTCAATAGTTCCTCTAGTTTCTGAATAAGAGACATTTGAATGTCAAAAATCTGCCTGTTTCCCTCCGTTACCACTTGACTGGATCCATAATCTAAAAAGAAAAATCCAGAAATCACAATGTATGATTTTTTTAAATTATTATATACTATTTATATTATATATATATGTATATATATTATATATATTATATATATATATATATATATATTATTTATAGTATTTGAACACCTGAGAAAATCAATGTTAATATTTGGTACAGTCGCCTTTGTTTGCAGTTACAGAGGTCAAACGCTTCCTGTAGTTTTTCAGCAGGTTTGCAAACACTGCAGGAGGGATTTTGGCCCACTCCTCCACACAGATCTTCCCTTGATCTTTTTTTTTTTTCAGATTATGTCTCTCACAGTGGACGTGCACCTACGATGAAAATGTTCAGACCCTCCACGATTTCTAAGTGGGAGAACTTGCAAAATAGCAGCGTGTTCACTTATTTTCCTCACTGTATATATAAAAAAAAACACTTTAAAAAGTTTATTTTAGCCAAAGCAGGTGACAGATCCCCTCCAGAAAAGTTACAGAATGCACATTTCAATATTATATCTGCTCCCCGACCAGTGAACGTGACCAAAAACCCCAAAATCCATAAATCCACATTAAAGGCAGATGTGAGGGCAGCAGGCGTCTCGGTGCAGGTGCAGTTTTAAAGTGTGAGTGAAGACGAGCTGACCTTCCTCACTCTCATCACGTCCTTGGACTTGTCCTGAGGAGAGTGCTGCCCCGACACACACACACACACACACACACA